CAAAACTAAGGCCATTTTGGAGTAAATATACAGGGTGTTAGTAAATAAGTGCGACAAATTTCAGGGGGTGATTCTACATGAGAAAATAATGGCAGTTTGCTTATAAACGTATGTCCGCAAATGATTCGTTTTGCGAGATACGGGGTGTCAAAGTTTTTCTTAAAAACTGACGATTTAATTTATTGCTCTGAAACCGGTCGAGATGTGCAAATGAAATTTGGTGGGTTTTAAGAGGTAGTTATTGCGCATTTTTTGACACGCAATTAAGAATTTTATGTTCATCATTGGCGCGCGTACGGGTAATAATCTCAATTTTTTTAAAGAAAAAAATGGTACGCCACAGAGATATTACAAATTAAATTTTTGAATTCCTCGTTCAATTTGTGACAAAAAATCTCTTTTGCCTTTTCTTCGTACGGGGCGCCGTTTTGATGCAAAAATATAAAACATCTTAATGCGTATTTTTTATTTCTTTAATACATTACCTAGTACCCCGTATCTCGGAAAACGAATCATTTGCGGACATACGTTTATAAGCAAACTGCCATTATTTTCTCATGTAGAATCACCCCCAGAAATCCATTTATGTTGACGATGTACTTTCATCGCAACATAAATAATATATTTTAAATTCTTGCTGATGTAATTGACTTTGAACAGGCTGAGGCCTCAAAATAAATTTATGTTTATTTTTCTGCTAATACAAAAATCTTGTTTTTTTTTGTTCATAATTTTCCTTAGCTATCACAGACCCTAGCTGATCCGATAAAAGTAAATAAATCTTATATACAAAGATAAGATAAGTAATAAGACCATCACTACAGCTAATAAGACAATCACTACAGCTATATGTTTAAAAATATACAGGGTGTTCCATTTAAAAAATGTAATATTTGGCGTGTCCCGTTTTTGCGCATGGCCCTGTGTGTTTCAAATTAATTTTGTCCTTTAAGTTTTTTGATTCTGTAAAACTTTTGTATAAGCTTTTTTCTGTTTTATGAATAACAAGGGAGTTATTTTACTTTCTCACACTAATGGCCCACCCTGTATATTCCAAACAATTTTTTTTATAATGCCCTATTATTCACCTCCTTGATAGTACTCATTTCGTTCAAAAACTCGTAGGTCATATAAATGGTTCATTCATTCTTTGTTTACTTTATCTTTCAGAAAAGGAACTACATATATGGAGATGAAATTAGAACTTCTTGCTGATCATAGAATATTGGCTTGATAGAACTTATTAAAACAAATGTCCTTTGTGTAGAACAATGGGGTTGCTTTAAAATATGTTTCATATCGATGTACTTTTTCTTAATGTATGCCCGAACTCAATATAAGGCATTTTTTAATAACGGTTGGTTATTGTCAGTTTAGGCCAATGTAGTTGGTCCAAGCAAAAAAAAGTAAGATGTTTACAGTTCTGGTTTGTAAAACAAAGTCTTGATCAACTAAAGAGACAGTTACAAAAGAGGTACGTAAGTTACAGTTTATTAAATGGTATTGTGTTAAGTTTAGGCTAGATTAGAGTACCTAGGTTAAAAAGAGACTTGCCTGGACATTTGCACTATTTACTTTACACTTTTGGTCATAACCTCATTTGAAAAGTTGCTGTAATTCTTGGTTATCGGAAAGAGACGGCAGAGAAACTTCATGCTAATTTAATATCTTAATTAAAAAATCATAGATTTAATAACATTTCACTCCCTAATAGTAGAATATTTAGAATATAGAGCAGAATATAGTAGTATAGTAGAAAAATTAGAATAATAATAAATTTAAAGATAAACTGAATAACTGAAGTAATAAAAATTGATCAGGAAATCTTTAAAGAAATGTATCGAATCAGAATGTATGCAATTAACAAAAACGAGTTCAACTACCACTTTTCGTACGAATTAAATTAAAGCAAGTATTACGACAATAAAACTGAAATTTTCTGGATTGACTGCTATAAACTTTCATTTCTACTCGCTTCAATATAATGATTAAAATTAGTTTACCTCGTTAGTGAATTTCGCCTAAAATTAAATACAGAATGGTTCAAATTGTTACCTCTACAAAAGTATAACATTTGCCGTAAGGCTACCCTCTTATTTGCTCACATATCTGCGCAATTACAGTATAATATGAACTAACAACATACGTAAAATAATTCTTTAACTTGAACAGCAAATGTGATCACAGTAAAACGTAATGTACAAATAGTACGGTTAAATAAATAAAAAATAATTTAATTATTAGTTCTTTAAATAATTACAATTATTAGTGCTCCTTCATATACTATTTTAATGAGCACGTAGTGTCAGGCAGATTCTGATCAGTTACCAATTACTACATAATTACCTGTTGCATTTCAATTTTAGTATTTACCTATTTCAATGGTGAAACCTATTCCAACATTGCTTGAATAAATCGATTTAAAAGTTTGAAAAAAATTATACATATAACCAATAACTAATTCATTATTTGCTTTAGGAAACCCATTAAAAATTTGTGGCAATTTCATGTACATAGTCTTCATAAAAGGTTACAAACCACATGACCAGTAATTTTTGTTTGGAACAATAATTTTATTTCATTCATGTTGGCAGTTAAATTTTGGCAAAATTACAAATTATTAAAACAGTGGGACCAGGATTACATTAAAACACAGCATTCTATTTCACAGGCTGTGATTGGTGTATTTTTGCACGAGTTTTATTCAACGAATCAGCGATCGCATTATCTCAAGCGTAAACGCAACGCGTTTGTAATTGTTCATTGTAAACGAATCATTAATATTGATGATAACAAAACAAAAATTTGTTTTCCGAATTCTAACTATCTGACAAGGTTTAAATCATTTATACACGAATATGAAAAATATTAAATATAAAACGTAAGAGACGTTTTTATTCCAAAAAAAAATCAATCCGTGTTTTAATTAAATAAAAAAAGGTTACACCGAATAACATGGAGTAAAATTTTGTCTAATCTCCCGTTGTAAATTTTATCTTATTTATGTTTAGGGAATTTCAATATGTTTAAAATAACATCTCAAATTATTTCAGTTATGCAGTTCGGAACATCCTGTATAGTATTAAAATAGTTTGAACTATAAATTTATTACAGAGCTATTTTAAGAAAATAAGTCTTTAAATTTAAGTTGCAGTGACAACTATTGAACTCTGTATTAAAGTGAAAAATAGAAAGTAAAACGAATCTTTATGGTAAATGAATTATTTTAAGAGACAAAAATGACACGTTAAATACTGATGGTGCTAAGACATTTCTCTATATAAATATATATCTTTTTTTAATTAAACTCAGTTACACTTTTAATTTCTGTACTATTCCAGTTGAGAAATACTTTTCTGTTAGCACTGTTTTAATTATATAATAAAACATCGACTGTGATTTTATACGAAATATATCTACACATATAAAAATAATTTATTACTAGTATTTTTGTTGCTGTGTCATACAAGTGTAGCTTATCATTTATGTTAATTTAACATCACGGAATCGTTATCTTTACTAATAAAACAAAAGCTTTCATGTTTTGCATTTGTCATTACACTCATTTGAATTTCTGTGATACCTATTGTTTACTATGTACATACAGTGTGGACACCGGTTTACATACAGTGTGGACACCGGTTTAAAAAATTTTTGGCGAGTGCGTTTTTAATGATTTCTTTTATATCCATGTTGACTTTGTTGAATCTATTACGATGATCCAGCTGCTAATCCACAGACAACTACATTTTTTTGCAATCAATTTTTTTGAAAATTACTTTGGGGAGTTTTTTATTAAAAATGTGGTAACGTGGCGTTCTTCAGCATCACTAAAACCCTTGTGGCTCAATTTCATCAATTTTTATCGAAGAATATTTTTTATAAGCCTCAAAAGTTTAATTTATTAAATTTGTGTTTCCGTTAAAAACTGTAAATTTCAGGCATTTCCAGTGCCTTATTGAAAATGCCTGAAATTTATTGTTAATCTACGATATTGTCCCTCTACCATGCGGCAAATTTTTTAATTCATAATAGCTCACACTGTATATAAGTAAACTTTATGAAAATACAAATTAAAAGAAAAAAAACTATTTCGCTTTTAGTATTATAATTTTCTTACTTTTTGTTGTTAAATGCTGAAATAGTTTTTATATTTAATTACTAATAGGTACATACGTCCTTCGGAAATCAGGTATATTGAGGTTTATTATCCAGTAGTTATTGTGATTAAAGGATTTATTAAATTTTAGAACCTTGTGACGTTTTAACACGCAATTATTCATCTGCAAAAGTCAATTATGTAACGTTATACCTTTTCATAACATATTATTAAGACATGAACAAAGGTGAAGTGAAACAAAATGTTCTACCTTATGTTATAGTTCATTTTAAGCTTTGCTGAAAGTTATTTTTAATATAAATTAATGAAATGACATGTTTTTAATAGGTCTAAATGAATTATTTTTTATTAGAATTTTAATACGAGAGTATAATAACAAATCTTTAATAAATAATAATCAATAATCGCTACCTGATTTTTTCATTAATAAAGATTATGATATACTTAGTTCATATATTCTCTTCAGATTTACGTCTATATAATTTTTTGGTATGGTTTATTGTTCCTGAACAAATTGAAATCATAATAATTTTTATTATACTAAATTAAACTTCTACTAGATTCCAGAAATTTCTCAAATTTTCCTTGTTTCTTAAATTCCGGCTAAAGATATCTCAAATGTTATAAGAAATAGTATCCGTTGAAATAATTGTTAATCTTTCAATTTGCATTAGTCGGTATATAATAATATTTTTTTAAAATGAATTTTCAAAATTTTGTTGACGTTTTGTTGTTGTTTGAGAAGTACTTCAGGACATTTTTTAAATAGAACCGAAACGTCGACTAAATTTTGAAAATATACTTAAAAGATATCCGGAACGGTGTAAAGCAAATTAAATGATAGATAAAGAAAGGGATAAGAATTAAAAATTAAAAATAATTGTTAATACCGCTCCAGTAAAGTTTAGTGAAGAGAAAATTTAAAATCATCAATCCGTACACTTCAAATTGATTGATTTAATTCCTTATTAAAACTAATTATTGAAAAGAAAGTGTGGTAATTCTTCCATAAACACCAAAACATCTGCCTCGGAGAACATAGATGACTTATATAATTATTATTTACTTGACGGAGAAACACAAATATATCTTATGAACTAGTGCATAACGCGTACGAAAAAAAAAACAGGAGCATGCATATTATGCAATCGCTAGGTCTGGTTTACTTGCAACGGCAATTATCATAAGAGAGGCAATGGATGTGTAATTAGTTTCATAAGTATCTATAGAGTGAAAGTGATCACTGACTTTTTGTTGCCCAGGAAGTGGCATTGCTGAGCTCCCTCAGGTAAGTCATTATATCGCCCCGACATCGTTTACTGTCCAGGCCATTTAAATGCGTCCACCACTTAAAATGATCGTAAAGTCCAGAGAACCACTGCATTTCCGTTATATTTTGACGAATATCTGCCCCTAGCAGTGGTTGAACTTCGGACTCGGCAACTGGAAACTGGATACCATTCGATAAATAAGACAAATCTGACGAATTGTACGTATATGTTACACTAGCTGTTTCGGAAGTCGTCCTTGCGGCACACCATATCACAGTCGCACAAACTAGAACCACGAACTTCGACATTTTGACACAATATTAACTAACTGTAACAATTAACACTAAATATTCACTGTTTCTATGTAAATCCTAAAGATATCATTTTTGAACTAAAATTTATGTAGCACACATGTCTTTATGGTGGCGTGTGGACTACTTCGAGGCAGTTGGTCGACTGTTATCATCGACTTCTTAGACGGTGTCTCAACTTTCGTTTTCATTGGATCGCCATCGACTTCACCACGTAAGGTATGTAAGTTTGCGTTTGCAGTAATTTCCCTGATGACCGGATAACTTGGGTCGGGCAGAGAAAGGGAAATTTTCGGTGTGGCCTAAAATTTCTTTATATTATGAATGTGACTAGTTTCTGTCCGAAGTTTCATCACTAACAACAGCTACATTCGATGAAAACGCTGTCCTGAGTTATTTAAAGCAGTTGCCATAAAACTGTCTCGAAACAGAAATACTTTCTAATAATAAATACATATTAATGCTTCCTCATCTTCTATTTGTTTTATTAATTTATTTATGATAATATTTTTTGTGAGAGGGATACCCTCAACCTTTCGATAATAAGTGGACAATTAACAGTTTGATAAATTATTAACAAATTTACACAATCGATTAGTTATAAACATCAAATATATAAGTTATAAAAAGTGATATAAGCTTAATCTAGTTCGAAAAATGATATAGTGAGATAAAACTATAAAGTTTCATATTTTCTTGTTAATGGAGTACTTTATACACATTTCTAATAGGTATACAGTTTTTATACATTTATTTCTAACAATACAGCTCAAGATATAAATTATCTAATTATATTGAAGTGATGTATCGGTTTGGGTCACATTGAATATAAATATCACCTTTTTAACTGTCAGTTATGTTGAATGATGAATAAGGCACAAATGAACTTTAAATATGCACTAAAAGATATTAAATGATTGTTCTTCTTTTGGTTTTCTAAAGAGTAAATTACATTGTTGCGACTAGAGGGTTTTAGGCAATTTAGTAATTAGCAACTTGACTGGGACTAAAAAAAAATTAATTGTCATCATTAGCAGTAGGTTTTTTTTTAATTTTTGCGTCATTTGTGTCAAAATCATGCCTTTAATTTATTAAAATGATGAATACGCGGATATGATTTTCATGTGTAGATATTGTAACGGTAGTACCACCGCATCAGTTAGGGAATATCAGCGACGATATCCAAACCGCTGTCTTCCAGACAAGCAAACGTTCAGTAGAACCTTCATAATTCTTCGATTAACAGGTGCGTTCCCTAAACTGACTTGTGAAAGAGAAATTATGCAAAGAAACAATGCTGCAGAAGTGCTTGAGTTTGTTGAAAATGATCCTGGTACTAATACGGGAAGAATTTCAGTACCTACTTACTGGAGAAAATGGGACAGCCGTGCAAAATCCGAGAAAACGGACTGCATTCCTGCCATTACCAACCAGTACAAGAATTTCTCCCCACGGATCTTTCTCAAAGAGTTCGTCTTTGTGAATGGTGGAGCAATCATCTGGATACTCTTCCAGGAATCCTTTTCTTTGACCAGGCTACATTTACAAGAGATTCCTCTTCAAACCAGAACGACGATGTTCTTTTTACATGATGGTACTCCATCCCATTATGGAAGAGGTGTCGCTAATTTCGTCAAAGAATAGTATCCAAATCGATGAATAGGTCGTGGTGGTCCCATTGGCCACCGCAATCTCCGAATTCCAACCCGTTGGACTTTTCCATCTATGGAAATATATGGAGACCTATTCAATGGAAAAGGCTAATTGCACGGACTAACTCATTAAGAAGATTCATACAGCGTTCGATGAGGTGAAAAACAATATGGAGAGATACAAGTGGGAACGAGAGCTTCGACAGAGGATTGAGTTGTGCATTGAACAAGGCGGTTACATTGAGCACCTTTAATAATTACATTGTAACTTTAGCAACTACCAATACGACCTGACAACTTCAAATCTCGATATTTCATGAATCATTGGGATTTTGGGAAAAGTGAATAGAACTATTTTTGCTTAATATTACTCATATAATTCGTATATGAAGTATCTCGGATACCTCTGCGCTCACCCTCTATACTCAACATAACGTACCATTAATTGTAATAGAATTATAGAATATTAAAATCTAAGAAATTTAACTATGGGTATATCGTCTTTCATTTCCAAGGTACGGACGGACGGTTTTTTTCAAAACTAGTTTTCCTATTATTTGCAAAAGTAGAAGCCATATCGCAAAAAAAAATTGGTAAACCATATGTTGACTGCTCTAAGTGAAATTACTTAGTAGGAGCCATATCGCAAAAAAAAATTGGTAAACCATTTGTTGACTACGCTAAGTGAAATTACTTAATGAAATGTAAGCACCTACTTACACATATGAAGTAAATTATTCTCTGTATATGACATTCTTATTGGCTAGAAATTGACTTTCATCAAACATTTTTAACAAAACGGTCTTATTATACAATTAGAGTTTATCTAATTATTACATTCATGAATACTATCTACAAATTACGTGATTATGTTATTCAACAGATTACTTTGAAACTGTTCAATAACACAATGATGGCAGACGAGTAAGTACTGCAAATTTTTAAGCAAATATTCTAATTTCTAATTGTGAAAGTTAACGTGATGAGACTGTTGAATACGTTGAACAAAACATGTCGTAATAATAGACTTACACGTTTCCTAAATATTTGATATATTTGCTAGAAGCACGGGAATTGATAATATTGACGTATATTTTCTTAGAAAAAAATGGTTTACTAGAAATATTAAGGAAATGTAGCAAAATCTTGTAATGTATATCACATTCAGTCATGATTGGTGACATAAGTATGAGTAGGTATTTAAGTCTCTACGGAATATCTCTTGCTTAATTTTATTTCCCTAAAAAACTCAATACGCAATTATAAGTGTTTTGTTGTAAATTATAATACTGTAAACTATTTCATATCGTTATAATGCACACTAGGCATACGTGACATGGAAAATGGGATACACAGTACATAAATACTTGGCTAAACTGATTTGGCTTGAGTACGAATATAGATAACAATAAAATAAGTCAATAAATTATTTTAAATTAACAATTTGAAGTGGCATATAAAGGGTGTCCCAAACTTCACTCACGTAATTTTGATAGAAACACATGTTTTTAATTAAAAATTGTATATTTTTTATTGATTCATAAAGTATACAGTGTAGAGTTATGTACGGAACATCATATCGGGTAAGTGGCCTCCACGGCTATGCTGGCAGATATGCAATCTTTTATTGAAATTTTCCATGACCGTTTTGCATAAATGCGATTGAACAAATGAACATCGTTTATACAGCTCTCAATTGCCTCCTTCATGGCCGTGGGCCTGTTGGCATAAACCTTAGACTTCAAAAAAGTCCAAAAGCATTGAATAGTATGATCTGGGCGTCCAATTTTGATTACCAAAACGGGAAACTACAAGACCAGAAAATGACTCATGTAGTAACTGAATTGCTTCCTAGACTGTATGGGATGTGGCAGCGTCTTGTTGAAACCACATGTCGTCCACATCTATATCTTGCAATTTACGCACCAAATACTGGATTATCATATCGCAATAGCGAGCACCATTAACTGTTGTTGTCCGACTAGCCATATTTTCGAAGAAGAATAGTCCGATGATGTCTCCAGCCCAATATCCCTACTAAATAGTGATAATTTTGTCGGTTAACGAAACCATCAAGATAAAAATGAGCCTCATCTCTGATGATGATTTTGTTGTAAAAATCAGGATCCACGTGTTCCATAATTCATTCAACGAACTCTCTTCGCTCTGCTGGTCAATAGGCTTCATTTCTTGAGTCATTTGAACTTTGTAAGTAAATCTTTTATGAGAATACACTGTAGAGAGCTTCTGGGAATATCCAGGTCTTGACTACGGTGCAGAACTGATGTTCCTGGACTCTCAGCAACACTCTCACGAACTGTTTCAATATTTTGTATTGAACGACTTGTTGAAGGACGTTCAGAGTGTTTAAGATCATCAATTGATCCAGTCTCCCTGATTTTTTCAATTACAGTTGATGAAGTTCACTATTTCGACCATATTTACGAAAATTGCGAACTGTAGATACCAAACCTTCATCATTTTAAAAATATTTTGGGACACCCGATACCAAAAGGAACTTCATTGTTACCTTAAATATCTACTTACTAATACTAGTGACCTCATTTTTCCATATGTGACTAGTTTAATCTAGTACAACAATTACATTAAATTTAATTCTCAAAAGACGTAAGAGTTTATAAAATAGACTTTAAAAAATATATTTAATTAGCTCCACTAATCCTGCTTTTTACATATATCTACAATATAAGCATTAAATATTCAATAATCTTACCTAATTTTACTTAACATTGTTCTAAACGTGGAAGTACTTTCTGTTATATAAGAATTAACAATGAACATGAGGCAGAATTTTCGTCATAAAAACACTTTTGGCACCTTGAAAACGAAAAAACTAAGAATAAGTTTTCATTATAAAAGTAACCTGTTTAATATGCGAAATAAATCAACAAATCTTATCCCAATATCTGTTAATATTTTTAAGATATTTAAAAGGCAAAATCATTTATTGGTCAGTCCATTATAGAAAGCATTATTCGGTACACTACACCTGAGATTTAATATTGTATTGTCCTTTCACTAACCATTCGTTCTTCTATTTCTAGGTGACAAATACAGAAGGTCGTTTCCGCTCTGTGCATTTTTCTGCTTATATTGATAAACTTCTTGCAAAATTACGTTAGTAAGCTTTCCAACAAAAGCGAGAAGTAGAACAAATTCATTATCAAGATAGTAAACATTCCACTTTTCTTCCGTTAGTTGGATTTTAACATTAAATCTTAAGTAAACACCATTTAAATTATTACACTTCTAGAATTAAGACTTTTGTAACAAAGGATTCGTGTTATATTCAAGGATATATTATTCATTTGTGTTATTGGGAAG